CCTATGAAATCATCACATCGAACCCCCCAAGCAAACACACTGCACAGTCCCTTGACAGAGGACACATCTGACAGGAACCAGATGCTACCGGCCAGCTGCAGCCAGAAGGCCAATGAGATACCCACAAGGGGGAACATGTGGCCACAGGGAGACCAACTGCCTGGTGCTCCCTGGACAGCAAGGCTGTGTCCCACCAGGCAGGCTAGAGGAAGGAATGATGAGTATTGTGTCAAACCATCCCTAATGCACCAGGCAATAGAGTGAAAACAAAGTAAGCTAATACTCCAGTAGTATCCCACCTTCTCACCGGCAAATATTTTTTCAGTTGGGAAGAGCTGTGCCAATAATCTGAAACATTACCTCATAACAAAATATTACTCCCTCCATCAAGATTTAAGTAGAAGCAGATCGAGAAGCACCACCCATTCCCAAGGCAGAACACCAAATGCTAAAACAACGATACAGACTTTCCAACTAAGTATTTAATAATAATGGTACAAAGTAATTGTATATTTCAGATAACTAAAAACCCATTTTGCCATGAAACCTGCATAAAAATTTCATTTCCCCATAGTTAAAACTGACTGCTAGAAACACTATTTTTAAATACTTGATCAAAGAAAAATATATCTGAAATTAGTATTTGAAGTGTAAAAGCCTTGTTTACTGGGTCTGAAGTTATGCCAGCTAAATTTTAAGAGATGGGATGAGGAATAGGAACCCGACTCAAAGGTTTTTCACAACTCTCCTTCAGAAAAAACTCATTTTACACATCAGTTTACAGATCAGGTTCCACTTCAATCACAGCAAATCTAATTGCTTCCTGAAATCTTGAAAATTTGTTATGTCACTGACTAGTTTCAGGTGCTTTTTCCACAAAGGCATGTTCTCCTTACGTGGCTTCGTTCATCTCCATCTCTACCTCAGGAAGCTGAAGCTACGGTTTGTAAATCATTGGCAATCTACTAGGACAACTATGCATGGTTTGTTCCAATCCCTCCCCACCAGCTACGGTCCTCAGGGATAAGCTGCAGCGGGCAGCCACCAGCTCCCTGTTACTGTCTTCTTGATCAGACACTGACAGCCCTTCCCCTAACCACATCAGCCTGAATGCACTTGCTCTACACTGTCCATGTGAAAATTTGGTCTATATCTCTACTGCAGGATCAAGCCTACCTCTATCATGCATGGTTTAGCAACTGTTCCTCTAGCTCAGGCAGGGACAGAAACTAAACTGCAAGGAACAGATGTGACACACATAAAACGCTGAAACAGAAATACTTTGTCTACAGCACTGTCACTAGAAACTCTATTGCAGCCTCCCTCTCTTCTCCTCTCCTCTAATGGGATCCATATACGTGTTCTCACAGCCTTCTGTGCTTACTTTTGCCCAAAAATATGAAATGTATTTTTCTACCAGTACCAAGACTGTTGTCTTACCAAGACAGCAAAAACAAAACAAATGACTAAGAGATTTTTCTAGTAGTCTGAAGCTTAAGTGTTTGCCCTAAGAAAAAGCAGGCTGTAGCCAAAAGAGGTTCTTACCTAGTCTGAAAAAGAAGTTCCCTTTCACACACTGCAGCTGAACCACTCCCCTACTTTTCAACCAGGCATTTTCAAACAAGCTTTCCACTCCTAATTATACCTAGATAGACCAACTTTCAGTTATTTTACAACAAAACTGTAGGATAGCAGTTCTCTTCAAATCAGTCTAACCACATGGAAGACTGTGTTGAAATTGTGACTGAATTTAGATGATTTAACTGATATTCGATTTCCTCATGGGTACTAAGTATTATCCGTGTTTTTCAAATAAAATAATCCGCATTTTTCAATTTGAATCTATTTGATAACTTCCTTTTCAAACTAGAAAAATAGCATAATTCTAACATAATCCATTATTAAGCATGTCACTTCCCATTTTTTATCTGTAACACTGAATTGACTTTTGGTTGTCATTTAAAAACAGAACTATGAATTGAGATGTTCCTGAGAGTATGTCACTAGGTCATTCTTCAGGCACTCTGGAGTGATCGCACTTTGAAGAGTTATCTATACAAAGCTTAACAGAATGATAACATCTTACTCATTCCCACCAAAATGCTCAAGTCTTTGCCTCTTAATTCATTATTGATTTTACATCCAACATATGAACGCAAAAAGAACAGCATTTCTTCATAGCAACCATGCATAGCTGTGCCAGAACTTTCTGAAACCCAGGAAGCTCAAGCGTGTTAAAGGACATGGCTCAGCTCTGCCATGATGATGATTTTTAATACTGAAGTCAAACAAATCCAAAATGGAACAAAAACGAACAGTAATGATCTGTTCACCTTAAAATATGAAGTGAGCAGGGAAAACAACATGCAAAGTATTAATGCAGGTCAAAGCAATGGCATTAAAATGTATTATTCTTTATTTTATTCCCTTCTCCTGCCATAGGACAGAAAAGACTTGTTTTAAAGGAGCACACTAAGACAGTAAATGGTATTACATTGTTTGTCAGCAGAGCCTCTACATTGTAAGGCTTTTCCTAAGGTCGACTAAAACATACCTTCCCCTGGATAATTTTAAAAATATTTTAACAAGAGTGCATGAATAAAAGAAGAAATAACAAGTGCATAGCAATAAAAGTCCTGATCCAAAAACCCCTACAACTTTAGTGTTGTGTGTCTCATTTAAACCAATAAACGTCCTAAAGAAAACACTTGTTACTGTGCTACCCTTTAAAAAAAAGAACAAATCAGCAGAGCTAGTCAAAAGGTACCTGCTTAAGAAAGGCATTACATCATTAGGTTCAGTATTAGTGCTACACTGCAAACGGGCCCAGCCAATGGATTAAGACAAATAGGATACACCTACCCTTAAGCTTCCTTTTTCCTTTCCTGGTATATATTGCAAAACAAATGCATCTCAATTAAAAGTTAATACTCTTTCCAGGTTTATCCCTGACTTTGTAAGTGAAGCTATTATGGTACCATAGGTTATGCTTCTGAACAACAGCACACAGACTGTAGAGGTATCATATTCAGAGGAAGGAGAAAAAGTGTACAGCCTAAAGTTAGGGTATTGTGCAGTAAAACCAAAACATTAATTTATTCTTCCAAGTCCTGGAAAAAGCTCAACATCAGCTAACACATTTTCTTACTTGAAATTCAATTTAAAAAACTCAAGAAAAGAAACTTTGTGAACCTTTAAACTGTTTTTACATAATCAATGTTTTGAATGAGCAAGAGAAAATAAATTTGTATCATCAGCTATAATTATGCTATCTAACAATGTTGTACTTTAGTCCAGATTTCCAGAAGACAGCCATGGCTTGTTGTCCAGCAGGAAATCTGTGCTCAGTTTCTGAATCTCCAGCTTTTGGGACTACGAAACAGAACAGCTTTCCCTGCACATATTAGATTTTATCTAGGAGCTAGAGTTAACTATAATAGAGCTATATCCAGCCAGGTTCATCAGCACTCCAAGGATCACTGGTGACATGCTGCTCCAGGCTTACAGATGAGGAAGAAGAAGGCAGGTTTCCCCCTGAGCTCTGCTGATTAGTCCTCCAGGCAAAGCCAAAGCTTCTTTACTGCCAAAAGTTAATTTTAACTTCGGAAGACTGATGTCCAAAGCCTCAAACTGCCTCCCGCTCAGGCCTCCTATTCTGTTTCCCATCAATGACCTGCTGCAAGAGGTAAGCTACAGGGAATATCAAAAAGCAAAGCATGATTATGGGAAAGCATCTGGATGGAAGGAAACAAATCTCTCTTCAGCAAAGTGACAGCACTGCACAAGCAGCTCTGACCTCGTTCAAGTTTTTTGCTGTAAGCCAGTGGAAACACCTCTGGCCACTCTGCGACCCACTTCATCCAGCCCAAAGCAGTCCTCCAGCACAACCCTAAGCCACGAGAAATAATTAAAGAGACATGGCTAGCATTAAGTTCACAGTGCTCCCATCTCAGAGAGAGGCATATGTTTCCTAAGTGCTGTCAGTCACTTAAAGCACAGAGCTGAGACAAGCACGACAAAAACATCCACAGCTGTGAAAACAAGGGTTTGCCAGACAACTTTCTAACTATCGCAGCTGCTTCAACTTACTTCCTCCTCCTGTCCCTGCCTTCAGAACCCAGCAGTCTGACACTATTCTTTTGCATTGGCTGCCACCTTGTGGCATGTGTTCTCAAATACAAAACATGAGCTCTCCCTTGCACATCAGCCCTACAGTTACTCAGAAACAGCTGATGGAGTAGTGTGCACATCTTCTACAACAGCTGGGGTCTGTGTCATGTGCCAGGGACTCCTCTGCACATGCCCAAAGGACAACACATTCCCAGTTGTACTACTCTATGAAATTTGAGATTAAGGAACAAATTGGGAAGTGTGACAGGAAGATGTACCAACTTCTAAGTTGTTGCCAAAAGCTCTGCAAAAAAGCAATCAGAAAGACCATGTAAATTAAATCCTTCAAATTAAGGCTCCCAAATTGCTCTGCAACCTTTCACAGTTCTCCTCAAAGGTTGTGAACTTCCTTGTCCCAAAAGAGGCAGCATTTGCAAACGTTTAAGACACGAATTCAATGAAAGTAATTTCGTACAGATGACTACCATAGGACAAAAAGAAAGCGGGCATCTCTCTTGCATTGAGGGGAAAAAAAAAGAAAAGGGAGACCTAATGCATTTGTTTTAAACTGTACCTACGAATACCGTCTCTCATAGCTACTAGAACAAATCAATGAAATTATAGGAGCTGCTACTATGTATGTGATATTGTGGTAGAGTCCCCTGTTTGCCTGAGCACCATTTCTGAGCAAGCAAGAAGAAGATAAGAAAAGATCCTAGCCCATGCTGGCTACTAGTGAGCTCCAGTGCCGACCAAGACTGAAATGATGAGACTAACTCTCAGGAATGGCAGTGAGGGGGAGCAGTGCCATGCAGGCAGCTGACAGGGATGCACGGATGGTGGGGATGCAGGATGACCCCTGGGCACTGGGTAGGCAGAAGAGTGCTCACCTTGGTCTGCAACTGAGGAGAATTCCACTGGCAGCTCAGGGTCGTCGCTCCCTCCCTGTGCAGCATGCACTGCAAGGCAGCGCCCACTGCCCCCCTGGCTCCCACCAGCAGAACCGTCTTTCCACCTGCTCAACACAAGTCAAGTCATTCAGCTGCCTTCGGCTGCCAAGGTGCTAGCACCAGGCTCCATTGTAACACAGAGCTGGAGTGCCTATGTGAACTGCCCCCCTTTACCAGCCACCCCCTGCCAAAGCCCTCTAGAAGACTCAGCAAAGCAACTTGCAACAGGAGAACGCCATGTGTCTGCACGTCCATAGCAGCTGGGGCATTATGGGTAACTCTGCTGGAACCCATGCAGACACAAACCACAGATTTTAAGTTGTTTCCTGGTAACTCTCTACATAAGTAAGTACTGCTCATCTGGTTTTCTGGTATTTTATTTGCACAAATCCTTTAATTTGTACTTTTTATAACTTGTTTGACCTCCTGCTTACAGTTCTGTTACAGAAATCCTTGTCTCAACAGTTATTAATCACTAAGAGACTGCTTCTGAAACATTGCCTTAAATTAACAGCATCTTCACACTCTGTAAAGCCACTTGTTTAAATCTGCCATTTCAATGTTAGCATTTACACAATCAACCCAAACTAAAAGATTTGCTCAGAAGTTATTTACAGGCAGACCTGGATTTCTCCAACTGTTCCCACTAATCAAAATTGTCAAGTGAAATCCCTAAGTGACATCTGGTACTTCTGGTTTTGAAGTCTCAGATATCTTGGGTGGCTTCAATGAGATTAAGTCTTCTGATGGCAGGTAATCCCTGCCTAATCTCCAGAATCTGTAGGACTGAGACACATTTCTGCAAATATTACATTCAGATCTCACTGAGGTTCCTCACCAGCAGGAGACAAATATACTTCTCATGGGAAAATAACACAAACCAGAAAAAACAACATGGTGAGATTATATTTGTCTCTCAGTCAGGACTAAAACTGAGAAAACTGGTTAGGCTAACATTAATATAATGATTATGACAGAAGGTCTCACCTAAATCTTCAAGAAGCTCCATCACAGCACACACTGTAGGAGGAACTAAACAGCCATGGGCATTACCACGTACCAAGCGTCCTAGGTTTACATCAGATAACCTGTAGTGGAAAAATACATTTGAAAAAAAAAACAAACAAACATCTGTGTAACATAAATCCTCAGTAAAGCTTGTAACAGGGCTAACAGCTAGTCCCAAAAGCAAACACGTCTCATAAAACTAAATCCTTTGATAGTCATGTACTGTGGCTAATACGTATCATCCCACATCTCAGTTAGACAAACACTGAGCCTCAAGAGAGGCCAGAAAAGGGATCTGTGGGTTTGAACAAGTCACACAAACCCATGATACACAGGCAGCTATTTACTCGTCACAGTGGGCTATGTAGGGCACACTGGGCCAAAAACACCGCAATGGCTACCGTGGGAACCAGACCAGCGCAGCCAGAGCCAAGCTGAGCCAGAGGGAATACATCCTGTTGGGCTCAGGCTGGCTTACTGCAGGGAACTCGGGTGTTTCCACACTGCATTGCCTTCTCTCATGCACAAGGATACTCTGAATTTTCCATTCTCTGTCAATCTCCAGTTCTCCAGATAACGTAAAGGTAACTGGAATTTCCAAGATTTTTAGATTTTTTTGCTGACATAAAAAAAGAGAGGAAAAATAAAAGAAAAAATAATAATAAAAATGGGTAACAGTCTGCAGTTGAGACCAGAAAGGCCGAAAGAGCAGTCAAATGGTAACCCAGGCACCTGAACTATGCCAGTGGTCTCTCCAGAGAGCAGTGCAACTCAGGATTGATGGGAAAGTTGTGCTAATGGCTCCAAATTATTATAGCCTATTCTCCCACTGCAAGAGAGCATTGTAAAGAGGTTAAAACCTTCCCTGCAACTTTTCCATCAATCCTTGCCAAAATTTTGGCATTTGTGTTCAGTACTTTGTGGCTACTCTTTATATTGCTGAAGCACTGAAATACCCTAAGTATTACCAGTAAATCAGAACTTCGTTGTTGATTTCTTTGAAAAGACCATGTCCTGAGTGTACAGTATATAAAGATTAAAAAGATAATGATCAAAATTACTTCAGCAAAAGACTTCTCATTGATTCAGCGGCACCTTTTATCACTGCTCAATAGCACAGCTAGACACACTGACTGAGGAATCCATTAATGAAAAGCTCAGGGGAAAATCAATTTTACAGAGTCATCAGCCTTGCATCTCCTAATGTTATTTCTCAGTGCTTCACTTACCCATCCACATCCTTCTCTGGTTTTACAGCGTCTAACACCTTACTGCTATATAAGCTTTCTGGGAGGTCAAGGGCAAGGCCCTGCACATTGGGATCCTCATTAAGTCTCAAGATTTCATTGACAATCTAGGAAGTTAATAAAAAGCATTAAAGGTCAGAACAACAAAAAAAAGAAGAATCTAATTAGAAGGGGATAAAGATCTGTATTTTAAAACTACCTTATGGCCACCTTTGCTTCCCTCACAAATTACTGCAACTTCTAAATGAATTAAGCCACCCTGACTCTATTCCAAACATTCTGCAAAGCAAACACATATTACATCACATTATGCTGCCAAAAGCATTTTGTCTTTCACCATTCCAACTCTCAGCCAATAGCTTGACACTGTAATGGCTTCAGAAGATGCTTTCAGAAATAAGAAGCCTTCATTAAAACCTAGTTCAAAATGGGACCAATCACATCCCAACACAGAGAAACAAAGTCTTAATGCTGGAAAAAACCAATTATCTAAGAGCAAATTCATTTTATTAAACCAGCATATATTACCAATTTTCTTTCACAAAATACCTTGATATTAAGAGCTGACATTCATCTTATGAAGAACTGTTATTTTAAAAAGGCACTGCACACAGGTTTACATATTTCAAGTACTGAACCAGGTGCTAGTTCAGATGTTTTATAATTGGTCATATTTTACATCCAAGACCCTACTACCTTCCCTTGATTGCTTCATCTCTAAAAGTGCAGTGCTGATCTGTAGTATATACACTGTTCTGCTGTGATACAATGGAATAAAACATGCTGAAGCTCTCTCATGTGAGAAATGTCATGTGAACACATCTTCCCATCATACAAATCAGCGTGCAATCACCAGAAAGCTGTATAATTTAACTGAATTAATATCCAACAGAAAATAAGCATGAGGATTTTTTTTCCTTAGCTAATACCATGCCTTCCTGAAATGCTTTTCATGTAAACTACTCGATACAACTGTGAACTTTACCGCCCAAACACTTGTTATTCAATCAACATTAAGCTAGGGGAATTTGGTAGGGGTTACACCATCTGCAACTCTGAACCAAGAGAATGTGCTACTTTCATGTTAATAAAAGATTATACAAGTATGTCACTGCTATAGAAATGTCCCTTTAGTTTGCTGACTTCTGAGACAGAAGCAGGCATATACAGTAAGACCCCGTGCCATCTGACAGCAACAGAACTAATACACATTTTAACAGAAAGTAAGGATGAGTGTATACACCAGAATATGGATGTGAAAACATCCACATTTTGCTTAAAAATTCTGAGATGCTACAAAATGTTGGGGGCCTACACAGAAATTAAAGGAAACATACTTCATAAATAGCCTGAACCTAATGAACTCTGAACTGTATTCCTGCTTCCTGGGAAAATAAATCAGTTTTCCATTTTCCTTGCATTTTACTTTAATTCAGCTTTCCATCATCACAGGATTTAAAATACTTACAACTCACACAGGGTAAAGCAATCTTGCATTAACTTGCCCTTACTGTACACAGGCAGTTATGGCAGAACAAGAAGTGCACAGCATTGAAATCCCTCTCACCTTCGCAAACCAGGGAATGCAACCTAGCACGTGGACTTTAACAGATAAAAAAAGCTTTGTCATAATAAGTAAGCAGGACAGTAAGCAAATTGTTATGAACCTCATTGAAAGTACTTTCTTCAAATAACAAAAATACCCTGCTTTTCTTGTTACATACACAGCTTACTCACTTCCTAAGATATTACTTCAAAGTAACAGCAACTGCTGCTGTATACTCACTATATTTTACCGATTTCCTACTGTGTCACTCAGCAGATAAAATGCATTTACCAACAGCAAAGAGTATTTGATCTTTATTTCAAAAGCCCACCCTTCCTAAATGAGTAGCTGACTATTCATTATCCACAAAACTGGACTCCTAAAATTCTTCACAGGAAGTTCCTCTCAATTTATCTGGACGCTGTTCTTGAGATTACACTTCAATATTTTAAACACAAAATGTACCTGATGCATAACAGTGCACAAAACCTCACAAGCCTGCAGAATTATCAAACTCATCAAGCACAAGCTGGCCAGCTGGGAACAGCTGCATCTTTTACTACACATTCCTTTGCTGGTTTTACTTTTAGATGCCTCAGGACCATGAATATTAATATGGTTTGCTAGATTTAAAACATACTTGATACTAGTGCTGTCCCTCCAATCTACTGCTTTCAACAAGGTAAGAATTCAGCCCTCTAGTGATTGGGGGTGGATGATTTTTGAAATACATACTTAAAGCATTATAAGACAATAAACAGGCAATAAATTCAACCCCTCCCCCTCTAAATCAATTAATCTTTAATTTCCCTGAATAACTTGGGCAAGAATCAAGTACAGTCAGAAGGGCAACAGTGGGAGATAGGTTACACTTGCTGGTATGAGGGCTGCTGCAACTAAATAATGGACACAAAACCAAAACATCACTCTGCTGATTCTGCCTCAGCTTGCCACGGGACAGCAGACAAACCCATTAATTTCATCTTTTCCCCCACACTTGCCAATAGGGGGATAATACTTGCTACTTGAACTAAGGCAGCCCTAACCCTCATTTGAGTTAATAGAGATCAGTCCGAAGTGATAATGAACGTCAGCAACAAATAAAAGTTTATGACAAAAGCAAAAAAGGAAGTCTTTCAGGTACTGCAGTTACCTCATCCTTGCTGCTGCCTTCAGGGAGACAGATGTGAATAACACGTAGACCGACCTGCCAAAAGAAAGTATGTATCATTACCGAAGACAAGTAGCTCATCATTAATAACAAGTGTATCAACTAAATCTTACCTCTTTAGCAATGTTCTTGTTTATTTCTTGAATCAAGTTATCATTATGTGCCTTGGGGAACAAAACAGAAACTAAGTTTTAAAACAATAAATTTACATTTTAAAACGTGAGTGCAGTATTGCACAGGGTTATGCAAGAAACGTAAGGAGGATGTTTGTGTCCACTAGTATTCAAATAAAAAGTCTAGCAATTCTAAGAAAGAAGCAGGAGGTCATCCAGTAAATTTATTTCGGCTTCATTAGTTTAAGTGTGTGTTGATATTAGCCTGGCTTTTATAGACAAGAATGGCCATTTCCTTAATGCAAGTCTACCATTTAAGAAAGGTACCACTCTGTGTCTGAAGATACCGTTCTCCGTTCAGCCATGTAACAAGGATGAAATAGACATCAGCAATACCAGCATTTCCTGTAGTGTCCCTATAGCACCTAACAACACTGGTTTGCCTTACCACGAGAAATGAGGCAAATCACTACCATCATATGTTATGGTAAGTTCTGTCAATGCAGAATGCTCCCAATTGCCACCAGATACCTGTGCTAGGACAGAAGGGTCTCTTGGGCAGATTTCCTTGGAGACCATTTCACCTAGGAATCCTCCTCCCTGAGGTCCCTACACCTATATGCACCACATCCATTGTGATACTTAATTGTAATAATTACGGTTTAGCTTTACTCTTCAAGTTACTCATGAACTTTAGAAGGCTCTTCAAATATTTTCATACATTGTATCAATAAAACTGAGAATTCAACATCCAGAACTAGAAACCTCCTACCAACAGATCAGTGAGGGTTCCACCCTCAAAAAACATCAGTGGCTTCATAACAAAATGAATAACACTTCTCACAGCTATATGATTATATATAAAACCTGTCTTCCAACCCAGACCATAGGACTGAAATAAATAATTTTAAAAGAGTTCGTTACAATTCCACAAACACATTCTGTGTAGCTTTTTCCACAAGACTGCAAGTGACTTCCCGACAGAGTTGAGCCGCTCGCTTCATGGTTAGCTGCCAGTGCTGGCTTCAACTGTCACTAGCACCTCCCAGAATGATTTCCATTCAAGTTTGTAACAATTTACCAACCTGTTATTCCTAAATGGTTCAAGACTGCTGATAATGAAAAAAAAAGAACACGTAGAAGGACAGGCTACGCAGCTCCTGAAAGGGGATGAGGGCTTGCCCTCCATCCCCCAGCTCAGCACTGTCTGCACCCCTGGTGCTGCACTACCAGCCTCTTACTACCCAAACCTGGGTAGCACAGAGGCTGCTCCATTGAGAACACAAACGGAGCTCACACTGTGGTGAAGACATGGGATTAAAGACAGCTCAGCAGCTCTCCCCTGGACCAGTAAATATGAAACTGTATCCCCACACTGATGTGTAACTACCAGGACTGCTTGAGAGGTTTAGCTGGGATTCAGCCACCAGCAGTACCACTGTCCCCTGTAACACCCCTGTGAACGCTCACCTTGTGCAGGCACAGAAAGCCCCTGCCCTGAACCGGTTCCCATCACAACCCGCAGGGCAGCACAGGCAAGGACAGAGCTCAGGATGTAGGTTGGCAGAGAGCAGAGCAGGGGATGCAGAGGAGTCAGCTGTGCTTCACTGAGCTTTGAAAGGCAATAGCTCCGCTACACCTTCAACAAAATTGAGAAGCAGCTACCAACCACTTTTTTGATGTTGTGCAGCTCCAACTGAGGTTCAACTTGGATAACAAGCAACACAGGTGTCAATCCCAGTATCAGTTCAGCTTCAGATGGCTTGTAAAGGAAAGAACATATCTACATCTATTCTAGAACAGGCTCAGTCTGTAACTCCTCATTCCCAGTACTGCTGCAGAGGTGATCCCATGTTACACTGACTGCTGTTATCCACCAGCAAGTGGCAAAGGAGGCCTTTCCACTGCCGTCCCTCTCTGTTCCTGTGGCTGCAACACTGCATGGGGAGAATGGCATGAATCTTAAGGCTCTGCCTGCATTACCCAGTAGAGCAGTGCACCACAAGAGCACGTGCAGACTAAACCAAGTCTTCTTTGTACCAACAAACACACATTTAAAATGAGGTCCACTTCAGTCATAGAATCATAAAATTGTTTATGTTGTAAAAGACCTTTAAGATCATAAAGTCCAACTGTTAACCTAGCAGTGCCAAGTCCAGCAGTCCTTACAGCCAGAGTAGAGCTAGGATGACTGACAACCAGAGAACGTCGTTTGGGTGAATTTCATCCATAAGGATCTAGGTCATATGTTCTTACTGCCACCTCATGATAGAAACCAAGTGAGGCAAACAGGGACAAGAGGGACATTCATTTAAAGCACAACCATGATCAAAACTAAAACACGGATGTAGATGCATCCCAATTGATATAAAAAGAGAGCAGGAACCTCCCCTTTCTCACACAATGCTCTCTCCCATCCTAACAATATCCCTTCCCTTGTGCCAGCATAAAACACTCACACGGCCATGCAGAAAACCACTCATGGACTAGTGTGGCTAAAAGAAAGCCTCCCCAGATCCCTCCAGCACAGGGTGGATCACTGCTCCAAATCCAGCTCATGGGAACAAGACAGGAGTGAGAAACAACAGGTCAATGAGAAGACAGGTCACTGGTTTTCTAGTGGTTCTCAAACTCACAGTCTTCAGGGCTATTTGAAAACATTAAACACAATTACCCAGGGAGAGTAAGAGATGAGTTAGCTTGTTCAGTCAGCCTCATTAGAAGACTTACTAAAATAAAGTTGGTGCTGCATTTCTTAGTTTCACTATCAGTCCTTAAAAAATATTTATAGGTAGGTAATAAAATTAAGATCTACTGGGTCAGAGATTCAGTCTGTGCCCGCTCAAAGCCAACACCATCTAGGAAATGGGACAAAAACATGTTTGTCTGCACAGCTTTGGGACCTGCTCTGAATTAGAAACATTCTGTTTCTTGGCCTTGAAACCTTAAGAAATCCGAAGAGGAACATCTCTCAGCTTTGTAATCATCATCTATGAGTTTGCCTATTTGAAAGATGGCAGCACCACTGGGATGAAAAGGAAAGCTCTTCATAGAGTTGTAATACATCAGCTCTCACTTACTACAATATTGTTTCACCTTAGAAAGCACTGCTACTTCTAAAGGATGCTGACATTTTACACAGAGCATTTATTTCATACAGGTCCTTTTGAGCTGACTGTATTAGAAGGGGTGTGGTTAGTAGGTCGAGAGAGGTTCTCCTTACCCTCTACTCTGCCCTGGTGAGACCCCATTTGGAATATTGTGCTCAGTTCTGGGCCCCTCAGTTCAAGGAAGACAGGGAATTGCTTCAAACAGTTCACTGCAGAGCCACAAAGATGACTGAGGGAGTAAAGCATCTCCCTTATGAGGAGTAGCTGAGGGAGCTGGGTCTCTTTAGCTTAGAGGAGATTGAGAGGTGACCTCATTAATGTTTATAAATATGTAACAGGTGAGCATCAGGAGGAAGGAGCCAGGCTCTTCTCAGTGATAGTCAATGACAGAACAAGGGGCAATGGGAGCAAGCTGGAGCATATGAGGCTCCATGTGAACATGAGGAAAAACTTCTTTACTGCAAGGAACACAGAGCACTGGAACAGGCTGCCCAGAGAGGTTGTGGAGTCTCCTTCTCTGGAGACATTCAAAACCCACCTGGATGTGTTCCTGTGTGACCTAGTCTAGATGATCCTGCTCTGGCAGGGGGGTTGAATTAGATAATCTTTTGAGGTCCCTTCTAACTCCTAATAATCTGTGATTCTGTGACTGGGACTTTGCTGCATGGTTTTCCTCTTCTTAGGAGAGCTACAGCACAAGCTACAGCTACCCAAAGGCAACATGGCTGGCAGGAAGCAGCAGAGTGTTTCGCTGCCCCTCGCAACATACTTTCAAGATTAGGAGGTGAAGGTGTTGCAGTCAAGAGAAAATACTGGTTGATGAAAGTAGGTAGGTATTTGTTTAAGCTGTAGAGTTAAACTTTGACCCATCAAGCTAATTAAAGTAGGCTGATGATTAAGTAGTTAGAATAAGTATTTGTTTAAACTACAAAGTTAAGAAAAAGACTACAAGATATATTTGTAGAAGTACTTAGAGAAAGCATGTACCATGCTCAAGGGAAGAATAGCTGTGATAAGAACTAAACAATATCATGGAGGATAATAGCTGTGGTCAGACAATCATAAG